TCCCACAATAAGACGAAATGACCATCCAGTGCTTCCATGTATTTCATGATGACCTAGATTCATTTGACTCATGATCTCAACTATTAAAATTAATAAAAAATAAATAGTTATCCATAGAGAAGTATAGTGTAGCAGCAGTCTCTGCATCAGTAGGCCTCAATATACAAAAAGGAAAAAGCAAGATCCTCAAATACAACACGGAGAACACTAACCCGATCACACTTGATGGAGAAACTCTGGAAGATGTGGGATCATTCACGTACCCGGTCAGTATCATCCACGAACAACGAGGATCAGATGCAAACCGAAAGGCGAAGATTGGCAAAGCACGGGTAGCATTCCTTCAACTGAAGAACACATGAAACTCAAAATAACTGTCAACCAACATCAAAGTTCTAATCTCCAATGTGAACGTCAAGCCAATTAGTTCTACTGTACAGAGCTGAACGTTCGAGAACTATCACAACCATCATCAAGAAGGTACAAGTATTTATAAATAGTTGTCTACGCAATACACTGAACATCCATTAACCAAATACCATCAGTAACATCCTATTGTGGGAGGAGAATAAACCAACTTCCAGTTGAATAAGAAAATTAGGGAAGGACGATGGAAATGGATGGGACATACATTACGGAAATCACCAAACTTCATCACGAGATAAGTACTGATGTGGAATCGTGAAGTGGAGTGGAAAAGAGGAATGCTAAGGAACACATTACGTTGGGAAATAGAAGCAGATATGAAAAGGATGAATAACAACCGGAGAGGGATGGAGTGAATCGCTCATGACAGGGTTGGATGGAGAGTGTTTGTGGTCGATTCATGCTTGTCGACGAGGAGCAACAGGCGTAAGTAAAGTGACTGTTGAGGAGTATAAAAAACAACTGCACTACATAACTTGAAAGAACAATCCTATGAAAAAATAGATCAATAAAGATCATATATCATTAAAATTGTTAAGATCTATGCATCACATATGTGAACTAAAGTTGTAAAAATCTGCATTTTTGACTTATGGATAGAGTACAGGTTTTGAGATTGAGGAGTAAACAATGACAGATTTAAGATCAACAAGAAGCTTGGAACCTGTTGTTGAGAGTTATCTTGAATTCGTTGAGTTTGTCAGTATCTCGAAGGAAGGCTGTAGTGAAATTTGTAATGCTGTTTCCCTAGTTGTCCAGTGTTTCTTTAACCTCAATATCATCGTGGCCACAACCATGTGGTGATCTGAATCTATGTCAGCTCCTCTTCTGCTTCTCACGTCTTTCATTGTCCTTCTAAATTTTTTATTGATGCAAATATGTTCTATCTGGTTCTCTGTGGTGTGGTCCGGTGAGATCCATGTAGCTTCGTGAATACGTTTGTGTGGAAATATTTTGCCGCCTACAACCAATTTATTGAATGAACATAAATTTGTAAGTCTCTCATCATTTTTGTTTCTTTCTCCCAGTCCACATCGTCCCATGATATTTTCATATCCGGTGTTGTCTATTCCACTTTGGCGTTTAGATATCCCATCAGAATGGTGAGATCCTTTCTTGGGCACTCCGCTATGATTGATTGCAGCCTCTCATAGAACTGATTCTAATTTTTGTCGTTGCTATCATTGGCTGGTGCAATGGGTCCAATGGGTTTCACCGATTGCCAGTACTGCCAAGTTGTATCTCCTCATTTTCATTGCCACTTCACTGGTCTTCCCGATCTCACACATTATCCGGACGTTCCATGTACCTATAAAAATTGTTGCACTGGTTGTTAGAAGGGGCATTGGCCTCGTGACTTCCAAAGAATATCGGCTTTCATCCTGAGGTGTCATAATTCTTCCTTCAACTCACAGAGCAGAGTCTAAGTGGTTTAATTTGTCTAATCTGGTCGGCGTTTCTTAGCAAGATTTTCTTCTACGGGATGAGGTTACCGACCCCATGCCAAACCCCTGCTCCTTCACTAGTGCTTGGGACTGGCAGTAACTCTAGCAGAGCTACAGGTAAAGTTCAAAGTAAGCCAAGGGTACTTTAATTATAACAATAAAACCATACCTCTAATAAACAGATTCATCTTACTAAAATTATACGGGACAATCTGCTATGAATGTATCAGTGTAGCTCAGCCGGACATGGTGAAAGTAAACAAATACGTCAAAGTTTGGGCTTAAATATTTATCAGGTTTACGCAGATACAATTTGAAAACATTCTGAAATATATTTATAGTACTTACAAATTAAAAGTAGTCCTTAAAAGTCGTGTAAAAATAATATACTTGTTATTATTGAGAGCTGAGATTATTATTATACCGAGTACAACTTGAATACTCGAACATTAGAACCCTCCAAGTCGCAAATGAGAAAACAGAAGACAAGTAAGAAGGAATACTATTCCAAACAGCGTCAAATATACTACAAAACTCTCAGGTATTCACAGTTGTTTTTTTTTAGTAAAAATGAAATCATCATTATAGTCAAACAATCCTCATACAGGAGGTATTTAGTATTTGTCCAATAGGTAAGCTACACGTAAAGATACTGGAACATTCTCCTAAAAGATGATTCGATAGAATATCTTCGGCTCTTTCTGAACTCTTTAGAGCTTTGTTGAGTTCACCCGTGTTCCGTCCTCACAATACTGCAGATGCACATAAAATCATCGAATATGTAAAAACATTCAATGAATTTTCTGTTTGCTATTTTCTCCTTTTTCATTGTTTAAACATAACATTTTCAATCCATGTGTAGACTGAAGCTGTTTTGAATAAATTTTTACTTAAATCCTATCATTTATTTCTCGACCATTGTTTCTACCTTGAGGTGGTGGTCAGGCTTCCGTATTGTGATGAACTAAACGACCTATACTGACTGGAACAATCGTTCCTAAAGGTTCTACCATGCCAGACAGGTCGGTTGAAGAACGATAAGACTAAAAGCAGCAAACCCAAAGTCCAAAGGCGAAGTCGTACTACCATTTTTGGTTGTGAATCATCTATCTCTTATAACATGATCCCAGTTTGTGTTTAGTACACAAATCAAGTATCCGGTCTAATAATAATATAATCTCAGTCACCGGTCATATTACCTTAATATGGTAGTAAGCAATGACTAACATTACTGTAATGATATCTGTCAACAGACATAAGTAGTATACACAACAGTTGTATAGGGTATAAGGACGTAATTGACTGATTAGATAAGAGGTAAAACATTCTGTTGAATAATGTTAAAATGATAATAATTAGTTTTAGTAACTATTAATTAAGAATAGAAACATGACTATAGTGAGCAATAAAAGTTTTATAATTAATTAGAAGTAAAGTCAAATAAACAAGAAGAATTTTAAGTAGTTGAAAATGAGGAGAGAGAAAAAAACAAGGAGCAGAAAACTATTAGTTAAATGATCTTCAAATGCAACACTGAGTATATCAACCCAACCACACTCAATAGAGAAGCTCTGAGAGATGTGGGATCATTCACGTATCTGGTCAGTATCAGCCACGAACAAGGAGGATCAGATGCAAACCGAAAGGCGAAGATTGGCAAAGTAACAACAACATTCCTACAATTGAAGAACATATGGAACTCAAAACAACTGTCAACCAACATCAAAGTTCTAATCTCCAATGTGAACGTCAAGCCAATTAGTTCTACTGTACAGAGCTGAACGTTCGAGAACTATCACAACCATCATCAAGAAGGTACAAGTATTTATAAATAGTTGTCTACGCAATACACTGAACATCCATTGATCAGATACCATCAGTGACATCCTATTGGAGGGGGGGGAGAATAAACCAACTTCCAGTTGAAGAGGAAATTAGGAAAGGACGATGGAAATTGTTGCTCTGGTTGTTAGAAGGTGCATCGGCCTCGTGGCTTCCGAAGGAACTCGTCTTTCACCATTAGGCGTCATAGTTCTTCTAAATGAAGACCTTTTAACTCCCAGGGCAGAGTTTAAACGGTTTGAATTATTTTTTTTCTGGTTAGCGTTTTTTTAGCTAGTTAGTTTTCTACGGGATGGGATCGCTAACCTCATGCACGACCCTTCTCCTTTACCCGGGCTTGTGACTGGTAGTAACTCTGAGAGAGCTACAGGCGGAGTTACTACGGAATAAACTAGTGATTAAATGTTAACATTGTCCCAATAAATCATGGTTTTTGTTATATTCTAGTGAAGATTCGATTACGAGTAACTTCTGAGAACTAATAATGAATTAATTTTACCTATATATTCCTATTATATGACTATTCAGTAACTAGATTGTGTATATCTATATTCCTCTTATTATAAGCTTCATTTTAATTCATAGATTGTTATTATACAATTTACTGCTCATAAGTTATGTTCAGTTTATTGATTACAGTCTTTCATGCTCACAGTCACATTTTGGCTTGATCTTGTATAAATATTATTCCCTATTTTCTGGTTTGATGTGGTCTGTTTGGCTAATATATAAACCAATTATGTTTAAAACAAATGATTCCCATGGTGGAAGCTGTTACTGGTGTTCTGTACTCAATTGGAAAAGTTAGGTAAACAAAAGACCAACAAGGATGCTAGGCTGTCTATACCAATCGAATTTTATTGGTTTGGCACAGTACTAAGGTTTGTGTAAGTCATATTTTGATTGACAAATAAATTACATGTTAAAAAGCCTAGTTTTAAAGTCCGCGTGACTATCGTAACCAATGGTTGGAGACTCTTGGTGACATGGCTCAGAATCGATCACAATGGCGTCGGTGTATACACTCCCTGTCTTCCCTTAAACTAAGACACTAAAATCACTTGATATCTTTCTTTCTACGAACTAATTCTTTCTTCCTATACTATATCCTTATTGCAACCTTTGACCTAACCACTCCTATGAATCCGCTGTTCATCTTGCTGTGCTAATGAGGTATGGCAACCTGGACCGATGCATATATGTGCCTGGTCCTACGTTGTAGCTGACTGACATATTCAAGATTATATATTTCAATAAAGATGTTAAGACATTAGAAGACCGCTGAAGTATTACAAACAACAAGTGTATATTTAAGAAACTAAATTACTAAATTACATATTACTATACAACTAATGATTTGTCAAAAGACATAAAACAAAACTTAAAAAGCTTCTCATAGAATAGATTACATATGTGTCTATTATATCTTTTTAGCAATCTTATAGTATAATGTTGCATTGAATCAAATCCTCTATGGATTTAAATCAAGTTCTGTTAATGAAAATAATGGATTTGTAGTTTCAATAGGTTTAGATTCATTTTCAAGAAACAATTTATCTTCTTGTAAACGTTTTATACGATGATAGAAACAATTTTGAAGAAATTTATGATGTTCATTAGTTGTAAGTGATTTAGATGAATCTAATATTGGATGATGTGGCCAAATATATAATTCTTTATGTAGTTTAACATGTTCTTGTATATGTTTTGTATCAATTAAACGATTTTTAATATATTCAATAGGATTATTAGGTTGTTCAAGCATAAGACCACCAATGATTGATTCCACAATACAAAGTATATTAAAATTATCCGCTTTATTTTTCAATGAATAATAAGCGTTGATTTGTGATACCTATAAAATGGATATGGATTTTTGTGACAAAATACTTGAACCATTTTTGTAACGAAAAATGAAACAAAATCAAGATTGATGCTTTTGATCCTGTTTAGGAAATGGTGTTAAATTGTAGGTGAATAGGCTGCTGAGTAATTCTAAAACAAAAAGGATAACAATACAAGATTAGAAAATAATGAGAGGAGAAAAAAATGGATGAAAGTAGGGATTTTACTGAGCACTAATGGAACGTCTGATTTTTTTAGAAAGAAGAACTCGAAGATATTATCGTGTATATACTTGGTGCACATCCTCCTAGGCACCCAGTTAGCGACCGATCTATTATACTTCAACTGAATTTAGATGAAGAACACGCTACTCTCCTGGATAGCACGTATACTATGACAAATAAATGGTGCAGAAAAATATATATAACAGATCATACATATCCAGTCATCCATACGTCTGGTATGTTAAAGCTGGAATCGCATCTTAAGTTCTATGTTTTTCTCTATATGATTAGTGGTTAGAGACTTTCAGCAAATTATCTCAAAATCTTTTGCAATGACACTCGTACATTCATTCCTTGTCTTTCTCTTGAATTTGAGTGGCAAAATCTTCTTATAGGCCTTTTATCTTTTCTACTAATACTGATACTATTATTACTCATACTATTCTAGGATTCGTCTTAAAATAATATTACCTCACTGTGCTAGTGTGGTGTAGCAACTTGGAATGATGTATAGATGTATCAAGTCTTACATCGAGTAGACTGGCTGACTGACTGACTTTGTAGGCATCTATATCACAATATGCTTCCACACTTATAAATAAAAATGAAACAGTTACAACGTCTTGTTAATCATTCAGAAAAACAGACAATTTGATAAGTCGCGTCAATTCATTTAGATTTTCATCAATAATACACCTGTTAACCTATCTTTAAACTATATTTTCTCCAGATGCTCGATTGAATATCCAAGTACAATTTAATGCCCGATCACAATCATATTAATGAAATATTTTTAATTCTGGGATTAAGTACATACTTTGTTTTTTACTTCAAATGAATTTGATAACCCAAAGTTAAATGATTATACATAAAACTCTTGGAACTTATGCATACATGTTTCTTACTTTCAATGGTACTCTCTTAATCAAATTGTGAATTTACAACTTACTTACGCATATATGTTTGTACAGTTTGATAGTTGATCTCAGAAAGATACTGATATTTTAGGTAGATTAGAATTTGGTGGCATTCAAAGATTTTTAAATTTATTTGAAAGTATTAATCCCGAAATATATAATTTTGTAATTAATTAGAACATGAAGTTGGCAGAAAATAAATTTATAAGAGAAGTAAAGATAAACTGCAAAGTGATTGTTGCTTTGAAAATCATCATTATCGTAAAATGAACCAGGCATTTCCAACAAAATACGTGAGCTCCTGACTAATCGATAAGTCAGTGACACACTTTAAGTTATTCTGTTATGGTTGCTTTTATATTCTGTATTTTAGCTCTGTATACGTGTTGGAAGCGTATTCACTTAATTTATCATATAACATCTGCAATTCTAAAATACCTTTACATTTTGTGAATTTATTGTCTCATTTTTCACTCATCACTTCTGTAATTTGTGGAATTAACTGAGTCAATAGTTAACATAATTCAATAGTTTTTTTATTCAGTTGAGTGATTTTTACTCATGTCATTCTTATTCCCTATTAAACTGTTTGAGAACTAAGATGAATTGATCTTTACTATTTTTAAACCACCTGCATGGTTTCGACTCCATTCGGTAAGTCATATACAATGTAAAGCCAACAAATGTATAGGTACAGCATCCCATAACACATTAGCACAACGGAATAAGATTATTAAGAACATGTTTCAAGGTGTTTTAACAACTCGTCGATGATAAATAATCAACGTTTTGAGGAATAAAATAACTCTGTTGTAGTGAAGATGCTCTTGATACAAAATAAACGAAAACTGTAGGTATTTGTATGCTTCAGGCATCATGTTCAGATGGCAAACAATGAAGAAGATAGTTCTTAGGAGAAATAATACATTGGAATGAGGGAGGAAATAAACGGAGCTGGGACATCTAATATCAATATCCAGTTGTAAAGAAGGGACATACATGTGCCATGCAGGGATGATGATTGACTGTGTGTAATCAACTAGTGATGCAAATCAAATCTGGACGAGGCAAGATTTTTAAGAATTTAGAACCACTGTACTTCGTCACTGCCTTCGTGCCTTTAGATACAGCGAGCTTTGCCAATTCACCTGGCAACAACAATCGAACTGCTGTCTGCACTTCTCGGCTTGAAATTGTCAACTTCTTGTTATAGCGAGAGTCGGTTGGCTTCTGTGGCAATGCGCTCAAAGATATCGTTCACAAACGAATTCATGATCGACATTGCTTTCGACGGGATACCAGTGTCAGGATGAACTTGACGAAGAACTTTGTAGATGTTGATAGCATAACTCTCTTTCCTACTGCTCTTCTTCTTCTTATCGACCTTCGGCAGTTTAAACTTAGACGCTTTCTTCGCGGCCTTACCAGACACAACATTAGGAGGCATCACTTTGTAGACGCATACAGGACTAACACAAAGCGATTTATTCTGACGAGCAATGCGCCAGTACAAGTATAATTATAAATATCAGCATTCATGACGAATGTTACGTTAGAAATATTTCCGAAGTAACAATGAAATTTTTTATCCAACAAATCGGATATATATACGTGCGAAATAAAATATCACTAATCTTCACTTACGATAGTTTTATGGCTTATAATATGTTAGAATATATATTTACGATACATACATGAATTAAAATATGTTAACATTAATTTTAATGCAAAGCGATCTCTGATCGATCAGATCGGATCTCGATATTTTTTAACCTGCGCGATCAAAGTATTAAGCAACACTATGTACGTTTTGAGAAAGACGTAGTGAAACCCAAGCTTACCTTACTACTCTGTCGAAGTAAGCGAATCTAAGTACATAAATCCACCAAAACCAGGATATTATTGTTATTTAAATATTTCTTGAGCTTTATTGTCATAACAACCGTTCAATGAACAATAGAAAATATATAAACAATATTCTCATAATAACCCAAGCTGCCAGCTTTGGGTAAATTTTGGGGAAATCCCCAAAGTGAAAAACCTTCCCCAATGTTTGGGGAAATTTTAGGGATTTCTCTAGGTCAAGGGAAATTTACTATAGCGGCTTCCCCAAAATGGACCAAATTTTCCTCAAAGTTGGCAGCTTGGGAACCCATTACGAATGACTTGATCCTTTCACTAGAGCATGTTGTTGTTGAACGCAATTTTTAAATCTTGATGATAAGTTGACATTAAATCTGAAAATATATTGGTAGTGCAAAGTGAATGAGATAGTTCTAAAGAGGCCACACATATTATTGGTTTGACAACGCCTTTACTCATAGCACATTTAGAATCGAAGTGTGCCAACCTAGTCAAATCCGAGGTCAGAAACGGAATTCGAAGTTATATTTGGAAGGTTATCGGTATGTCGATGGATCGCTTAATCTAAACTTGCTAACAGTTGAAAAGGATGGGTAGCATGACGTATTCACTCGTGATCTGATACGGATGCGTGACCAAGCACCTTCAGCTATATGTGTCCACTAAAACTAATGAGGTCAGAGGTTTAAGCTTAACAGTCTTGTCGTTTGTAGGCACTTCTAATAGCTCTCTATATTCGGCAACATCTATTCGTCTTTCATATAAGGAGCCATGTGGTATTATATATCAATGAAAAAAGTACGATTAAAATGCCTATTAATTTAAATTTCATCGTTTCCAGATGTCCTGGAAAAAAAAGGAATTAAATGAAACTACGATTTGATTTCAGCAGATGACCTGGCTCTTTTATCCCATAAGCACCAACAAATGCATGTGAAGACAGACCGTGTAGCAGTCGCCTCTTCATCAGCAGGCCTCTACATAAAAAAAAGAAAAGACAAGATCCCCAAATACAACACGGAGAGCAACCGAATCACAATTGGTGGAGAAACTCTTGGGGAGGTGGGATCTTACACGTACCAAGTCAGAACCATTGATGGACAAGGAGGATGCGATGCGGACGTAAACGCAAAGATTGGCACAGCAAGGGCAGCATTCCTTCATCTGAAAAATACATAGAACTGAGAACAACTGTCAACCAATATAAAAACCAGAACATTCACTACAAACGTCAGGAAATTTAGTTCTTCTGTACGGAGTTGAAACTTTGAGAATTACCACGAACATTATCATAAACATACATGCGTTTATATATAGTTGTCTGCGCAAGATCCCGAATGTCCTTTGACCATAAACCATTAGAAACAGCCTAATATGGAAGAGAACAAACCAGCTTTCAAATGAAGAGGAACTTAGGAAAAGACCATGGAAATGTATAGGACATACATTACGCAACTCACTAACCCGCATCTTGAAGCAAGTTCTAAAATGGAATCCTGAGTTGAAACGGAGAAGAGCAAGGTTTAGTGGCCCGTGGATCTGACTCCAATTAGGTCGCATGAATGTTTGTTATCACCTATCCTCGTATATTATCGTCGACTTAAATCGCGTTATTCAAAAACGGAATTACATAAGTCGAATAACGAGAATAGACTTGTGAATGCATATATTTTGTACATAAGGCAAATGGAATAGAGAGAAGAGAAAGAACGCGGAGTGGAGATGGCTGGTAAGCCAACTCCCATTTAACCAATCGTTAATCAGTATTTGTAGTTACACAAAAGTAAGTTACAGACATGTGATGAGTAATGGGATAAGAAATGTACACATACCTACGCGCTCATATAAAAACAGTCAAGATTGGTAAGCGAATAATTAACGAGATCAGAATGTGACCCGAGTAGAATGAATAGAATGGGCTGTCCGAAAGCTAGAATAAAGTATATGGGCTTAGCATAATAACCAACACTACAAAGGCTAAGTGACACACTGCGCCGAGAATTGGAAGCAAACACGGAAAGGATTTCCCAGGACAGAGTTGAATGGCGAGTGCTTGTGGTCGGCCTATGCACCTGGACGAGGGGTAACAGATGCGACTAAGTAAGGGTAGTCTTGGAACTGAGCTGAAAACATTCGAATATATCGAATACTTTGAATCGCGACTTGACACCAAGAGCCGAATGCGAAGAAATTAGCTGACACTAGTGTGTCACAAGCATATTGAATATCGAGTTGTTGAAGTACAAGTTACCGTTCGTTAGCGCCAATCTAGAATTCAAAGTCATAAGTTGTAGTCGACTTCATCAGGCTCCCCAGAAATGCCTGAAACTGATGCAGGTATGTTTTATAGTGCCATAAAATATCTTGGAACCATTGAGTGTTTTTGCCTTGCAACCATTAGTTGGTTCATGGATTCACTGTAAGGTAGTTTCATGTCGGGATACCGCAAGGTATCAGGCATGGATTACGTTCTCTTAACTAATTCACAACATATGTGATGCATATGTCATTTAATCACCTTCCTCAAAATGACCAAAACAGACTGGTCAGACTCGCATTTTACTAGTGGGTAGTTACTAAGCCGTATAAATCGGTCTTTTAAAATAGGAAGTTGGACGTTGGGTTTTTTACACTTCTCAACTTATTTGCTACCTTTATTACATTCGAACAGTCGCTGTCGGTCTGTATATTTTGTCAGAGTCGAAATGAGGTGATGGAAGCTTAGTTTCAGGGTGTGGTTGGTGAACTGAGCCCTGTTAAATGGTGCGGACGTCTCACTCTGCTTAAGTCAGTGTTGTTTAAAGCATCACGTAACATGGTTGTAAGTGGTTTCTTTAACTTTTTCTATTCGGAACTGCAAATCCAATGTCTAGTCTGCCACTAGTTCTAGTATAATGAATGCTCTACTTTTGATCTGTTTGGAATTAAGTGGGTGCGTAGTGGAGTTAAGTACCGTGCTGATGGTGGTTTACCAAATGCATGCAATGAATTTTCGCTGAGTTCTTATGCAAAAAAATATATGGGACTTCTAGAGTAAACACTTGACTCCTCAACTTCTTACTGAAGTATTTATTTATTTATTTGAACACGTAAACATTGGTATAAGGAGGCACCAAATAGATATGCGCCACATAAATCATACGATTTGTGTGAGGGGTGTGATACTGCTCGGGTGCCCAGACCGAAGCAGGTGGTTTTCTTAGTTTTCAGCTTCGCCAGTGGTAGTTTGTGCATATCAGGTTTCTGTGTATTTAAGTTGAGAATAATATATCGAAAGTCTAGCGAATTTTTAGGATTTCTTTTATTGACTGTCTTACAGTCTAATGTGGCTTCCGCTTACATCTGATCTGTTGTACTTTAAATGTAAAGCATCGCCGTTTAGAACTGAGGATATTTGTAGATCACTAGTGCTCAACCGTTGGTGTCTCCAAAGTGTTGGTTGTACTTGTTGGGGCTATCAACTAGGCAATTTTGAGATTAGGCATAGGGTGCTAAGTAAAGGTTGCACATTAGTTGGTAAGGCAATAAATATTTGTCAGATAGGGTAGTTGGGACATGTTATACGTACCTCCTACTTCTATTGGCGATACTGTTTGGCTTATTAGGTTTAAAGAAAGCTATAGGCCAATAATTCAAAACAGCAGTTCGTGAAACCATTCTTTGTTGGACTAAACCATGTACAGACGATCAGTTTGAGTTTTACACAGTTATTGCAACCAATGGTTAGATACTTGCCGATATAACTCATAATAATTCGCAACAGCGCAGATGCACTTACTATGTATTCCCTTAGATTCTGAATCCGTAGATGGGCGAGACTATAATTTATGGATGAATCAATCAGATTTGGGATTACATTAATCTCATTTCACTGTGCTTATGTTATGTGACAGTTTTAACTGATGCATATATGTGCCGAGTTTTACGTCGCATGTGATATTTACCGACTAGAGTTTACTTTGGTTTATTTAGTCGAACTCATACAGGAATATTTTCAGACATCACATTATATATAATCTAACCCGTTGATATACGATTGACCGTCGGTTCACCTCACTTTTATTCTGTGCAGGTTACGAAGATGGTGTGGAAGAACGTGTTATTAATGAAGAATATAAAATTTGGAAAAAGAATACTCCTTTCCTGTATGATATGGTTATGACTCACGCCCTGGAATGGCCAAGCCTTACAGCTCAATGGTTACCTGAAGTCACAAGGTAAGCTATCAGTCGTCTATTAATCACGTCCAATTTCTTGGTTGTTCAAAGTATGGGATAGCCCAATTGTGTATAATTACTATCTTAAGAACTCTGAGCGTCCTTGTTGATTCCTTATTGTTGCATAGCATGCTTGTGCCTGTTCGAAAAGTATGTAGATAAAATATATAGACTTGCAGTTTATTTCAGAAACTATATTGACTAACCAGACTTCATAGAAGATAGTAAACCTATTAAGATTTAAAAAAAGGTTTAATTTCTCCCGTTTATCAGTATCGGAACAAATCTCAAACAGAGAAATTAAGCGAACTAGACGGTGAAAAATAATTCACAGGTGATAGGACTACCAAAATTTAAGAAATCCATCGATTCGTATGTGTGAGGCGGTGGCTTAGTGGTTAAAGCGTTCGACTTCCAGCCACTAACTTCCTGGCTCGAACCCCTCTCCACCTAATTCTCTTTGGACAGCCAAGTAGTGGTAGTCGGTGCATGAAAAGACATCGTCTAACATGGTGTTCCTTTGCACCAAAACCAGTGATGAACTCAAATAGACCATATCACCATCAGTCATCGTTGAAGAGGCTCAATAGAAGATTGTTGCTCGTTCTGGAGTACATGTTTAGACTCTGATAATGATTTAATACAAGCACGAATTTGCTTGCGCTCCACTGGACTCAGGAAAGCCACACTAAGAAGACACGTTAGTGCTGAACTCAGCGATGAGAAAGCTCAAGGTAAATTCCAGGAACAACTGAAGTCACACTTAGGTAGTTCTGAAATCGAGGCTGACCTAGATGTTACTTAGAAAGATATACAGATAGTCGTGACATCTATTAATAATTTGAACCAAAGGGTTATGAAAAATCAATGAATTTCTATTGTACTGATAGATTCTCGTAAAATCATCTCATCAGGCTCTGAACACGATAACGAACGAACAAAAATCAGATCTAGGCTAACCAAAAGTCTAAATAACAATCATGAACAGTTATGAGTTCCATTCGTGTATCTTCGATTTTTGTTCCATGTGCACTCCTAAAATATCATTAGAAAATGGACTTTTTCTGCCATCATGATCATTAAATCAACATTGTCATACTTATGAAATAATTTTTTTGATAATTTATTTTGGAAATCTAATTATACTTCTGAGTATCATCTGTGTATGAATTCTTGATATAACATTCTCCGTTCATTAGAAATAAACACATAGTATGTTTATACATGGGCATTATTCAAATCTAATTGTCTACTTATTATTCATATATACTTTCATAGACCAGAAGGTAAAGATTTTTCTATTCATCGACTTATCTTGGGAACTCATACATCTGATGAACAAAATCACTTACTTATTGCTAGTGTTCATATGCCAAATGATAATGCTCAATTTGATCCTAATAGTTATGATGTTGAACGTGGTGGTAAGTTGAATTGATTTATATAATGTAGTCTATGATTAAATTATCTTGAAATTGTTTGCTCGAAGAATCATTGGAATGAAGTAGTATAGTGTCCCGTTGTGTATGAATCAGTCAGGTTAATTAATAATTATCATCCTTTAATTTTTCAGATTTCATAGATTGTGAAGTTATTTGAACACCTCTACCACTACGGGATTTGAATCGACAGTTGTATCTCTGTGCTATTGTGGTAGGGCAACTCAAACTGATGTACGTACGTACGAAGTTCTACGTTGTTACTGACTGACTGAGCATGTATTTCGAAGCGGAGACTTAAGGGACTATGTGAAGTTAACATTGTTCTGTATCTTGTGAAGTCTCAACTGTTGAAAACAAATTACTAAACGTGATAGACTTTGAATCTATAACAAGTCGGTTTAAAAATCTAATGCTTTAACTACTATATCAAAGCATTTTCTAAATAATAACTATCCATACCAGCAGATTTTTTTGGTGGAATTGCTGGTGTGTTTTCGTATGTCTTTTACTCGAATAGTTGAAAGTCATATTAGTGAAAGTACATTAATTACTTCTTATTTGATCCTATCTCTAATCATATTAAGTGATTGATTCCCTTATTGATATAGGACACGCTGATAATAGCCTCATTTGTTGAATAAACCGGGAAAATATAGTCTTTTGATTACCTTAAAGAACAATGCAAGTATGCGTGGAATACATTTTTCACCTTTGAATACAAGTCTATGTGGTCGGCTAGATTAATTCCAGGAAGTAAAGTAGCTGAATGCGTTAATCATCACTTATCCTGAGGGGTCCTTTTTACTCTGATGAGTTGGTGTCTAACGAAATCTTGGCAAGGGTTTGGAAAGCTCTCTTAAATTTTGTCAGCTTGTTTCACTTGTATTGTAGGCGAAATATTCCTCTACTTTACCTTAAGGTTGCGAAACATGATTTGTGAAAGCAAAAGATATCCATAGGTTGCAGGTTTTTAATCATATTTATCTTTAACCATTCTCATAACGTGAAATGATCGAGTGAGAATTGCTGCAATGTTAAGCAATAGGGTACCTGACAGTCGGTTGATAGAGTTATCAAACTTCATCAACTGAAGTGGTTGGGACATGTATTTTGTACGGCATCAACGCACTGTATTGGGTATTGTAGGAAAAAAGCTCTAGATAGTCAAAACAAAACATTACATCAGTTACTGGTTTTTTATCTGAGCTATGTTGATAGATGCAGTCTACCCGGTTGTTTTCCGCACGACTAGCATACCCAGTTATTAGGGACGTTAGGTAACATAGTTCTGCATCAATTTCAAAATCATGTTATATATTTCATTTCACTAATTTACTCATTTTTTTCCCATCCTGTTTTTTTTAACATCACTAATACTACTACTATTGTTTCTCATTTAGACTCCTGTATATTAGTCTTGTTAATTTCATTTCACCTTGTTAATGTTGTGGTATAACATCTTGTGTAAACGTACACATGTTCCCAGATTGTACGTTGATTATGATTGGTTTTACTAGTGAATGTGGTGTTCTTGTCGAGTTATGTTTAATACTCGATGATATGTCCACGCATTCTAAACTCACCCACTTTAGTATTCACACAAGATCTTAACACCAAAGTAAGAGTATATAAACTTTTAGTTAGTTATTATGTTACACTATCCATTTAATTGATTTCATTTCAACATCCAGATTAAAAATGAATAACTTTTCATAAATCCATTTTTTTTCCACACAAAAAAAATCAGAGTTCGGTGGGTTTGGTGCAGTAACCGGTAAAATTGAGATCAATATAAAAATCAATCACGAGGGTGAAGTAAATCGAGCTCGTTATATGCCACAGAATCCATGTGTAATCGCTACTAAAACGCCTAGTTCTGATGTTTTGGTGTTTGATTATACCAAACATCCAAGTAAACCTGATCCATCTGGTGTATGTCGACCGGAATTACGTTTAAGAGGGCATCAAAAAGAAGGTTATGGTTTATCATGGAATCCAAATTTAAATGGTTATTTGTTGTCTGCATCGGATGATTATGTACGTTTATTATCTTTTCTTATTTTCTGTTCCATGTAGTTTTGTTTGTGGTAAAACAAACTTAAATTTGTTATTTATTTATTGTTCTCACATATAAGTTGATAAAAGGAGGGTTAAACGGGTAAAAAAGCGAGGACATATAGTTCTTATCTGTTTTCACTAAGTCACGTAAATTATTTATTTATTTAAACACATAAACATTGGTATGGGGAGGCACCAAACAGATATGCGCCACATAAGTCATTCGATTTTTATGAGGACTGGGATACTGCCCGGGTGTCCAGATTGAAGCAGGTGGTTTTCTTAGGGGGCCACACCCGGAGCCTTTGACTTAAAGGTCTAATCCACACGGCAGTGAAACAATGTTTGGAGATGCAGTCTTTTGGTATCCGGTGACCAACAATTGGTTCATACGCTATTTGTTCGCTCAGGATACTGGAGTGCATATGCACCATTGGTTTGGAATCAGTGTTTTCCAACTCCCCTAGGTGAATCCTCGATATCCACCAACCCCTGTTAAAGAGTCAGGCATTCGCTTTTCGTTTGGGGGGGGCATGTTTCTTGGTTAGGATTTTATTTATTATTTTTTATGTATAAATTCTCATTAAAATTAACATTAATTTCCCATCTTCTTAGTTTTTTTTCTCACTGTCTTGGTATTAGCTGTGGTAAATTAGATCCGTCACATTCCTTCCAGTTGTTTATGTATGTCTGTCTGTAATCTCCCGTTTTAACTTCAAATTCATCATGCGCTAAGAAGTATCTGTCATGATCACTTTAACTCATCAACAACGAAACTGGATAGAGTTTATTCTCAACAAGAAATTGATTAGTCAGCTTCCTTTCTTCCCCTTAACCTAACCTATTTCGATGTTGAATCGTTCGGGGGAAGGGTATAATCCCACGATTTAGTTTTTTTGTTTTCACACGATGCCAGTCTTATCCTCCATTTTACTCCGAATCTGTGCCATTCTACTTTGTAAAATTTGATGAATTTAATCATTCTTGTTACATTAATCTATTACTTGATGGCAAACGATAACTTACTCCTCAAAGTGCTCATCTTTAACTGGTATGCCACAGGCTCGAGTTTCATCTTATCTACTTCAGTTCAATCGGTTGGATATTGCCATTCACAGACGAGTATATGAAGTCTATACTTGATAAACAGTTAAATTAGACAAGTACTATACTCAGATACTTAATTTCTAACATAAAATTTTGACAATATTCCATTTTCACTCCTTTAATGTTGTCATTAGAATCTCTTTTAGGTTTCATTATTTCGTGTTGAATTGGTCGAGATCCGTTGTTTTATTCCCTCGATAGAATCGAATAATTTATGTATATTTCCATTTTATTTCCGTTTATTATAGACTATTTGTATGTGGGATATTAATGCAACTCCAAAAGAAGGTCGTATTATAGACGCTCAAACTATATTCACTGGTCATACAAGTGTTGTAGAAGATGTCAGTTGGCATCCATTACATGAATCTATATTTGGTTCAGTTGCTGATGATAAAAAACTTATGATATGGGATACACGTAGTGGTTGTACAACACGTCCTAGTCATACAGTTGATTCACATTTAGCTGAAGTTAATTGTTTATCATTTAATCCATTTAGTGAATATATATTAGCCACTGGTAGTGCTGATCGAACTGTTGCACTATGGGATTTACGTAGTTTACAAATGAAATTACATTCATTTGAATCGCATAAAGATGAAATATTTCAAGTAAGTTATTTATAAAAAATTAACGGTTGTTTCTATACAGAACAAGCTTATGAAGAAAAGTTGTTGTTCTTGTTATTCCCCTCAGTTGTACATATTAACATTTAGACATAAAACATTAGCATGGCTCGTACACAAGAATGACATGCAAAATTACAGGTTATTTCATATTTTCTTTCAAGCAGTAGCTTAATGGTTAAAGCATTCGACTTTCTTCGATTAAGTCCCAGTTTTGAATCCCACCCTCATCTACTTCGGTTTGAGCAACTGTGTTGTATCTCTAGCTCTCATGTACTTGCAGTTTGTTTTACAAATAAAAATACAATTAAATGTATTATAGTGACTAGAATATCTGTATAATGGATCATAGTGAAATAATCAATACAAGAAAAGAATATACTGAGAATCAGGTAACCAGGTACAATTGAAATACACTGAGAATACGTTTAAACGTTGACTAGGCGAAACTAATCTATGAAATTAAGATTGTTGATTACTTCTTTATACCGTTGTACTTGGAGAGATAGCATCCTTCCTCACTAACTCTCTCATTAGTAGTACACTGGTTTTGAGTGACCACAACAGATACTGTATTTTTCGATGTACAATACGTTTACAGATAGAATAATTGGTATTTGTCATTTCACTGATTCTTTATCACTATATAGGTTCAATGGTCACCACATCATGAAACTATTCTTGCTAGCTCAGGTACCGATCGACGTCTACATGTTTGGGATCTTAGTAAAATTGGTGAAGAACAATCAGCTGAGGATGCTGAAGATGGACCACCGGAATTACTGTTCATTCATGGTGGACATACAGCGAAAATTTCAGATTTTTCATGGAATCCAAATGATGCATGGGTTATTTGTTCAGTATCTGAAGATAATATATTACAAGTGTGGCAAATGGTATGTTTTCTCTTATTGTAAGAACTTATCTAGTTTATAGCATAGTTGGGTTTTGAATTGCCCTGTTTTTTGATATTCAGGATTAAATTCTTCATCTGTCTTTTAACATGTATGCGTCCTATACAGCTATTTTATCACACACCATCATGGATCGGTTGTAGCCAGCAGTGAAAACAAGGATGCGCGTCTTGTCATAACTGAAACTCGTCAGCCGTTCGTACCTGCATACCAAGGTTGACATTCACATTAAGAGTTAAACCCAATACCTTTCGATTCAAAGGCCAATGGTCTGTGTACTCAACGGGTCACCGACATTGCCGTGTTACAAGTGGTTGAAAAAATTGGTTGTTTTAATCTCACCATTATACTTTCTTACCACTATCAAGCAATCTAAAGTACCTAACGAAAAGTCCTAAACCTTCAGATTTATTCTTATCCAATGTACATATAATCTGGACTGATTCTACTAATGTGATTGAGATCAGTATCATTATCCACCTTTTTTGAAAATTGGGAATGTTACTACTGTCAGGATCTATCATATAATGGTCTCTGAGTGATTAAGGTGTTCAACATTCAACCATTAGGTCGAAAGTGCGAGTCTAGACCTACATGTTTCTGTTTATGCATCCGGGTAGTAGAGTAGTAATAGTAGTAGTACCAGTGGTATCATTAGTTCTCACGCATAAAATGTAAGTCGAAAAGCCTATTACACAAATCTGTACAAATTTTTGGATGAGTTATATTAGACTAATCGATAGTGAAAGAGAAACGTGTTGTAACTCAACTAATTCAGTATTTGCATATTTCTCCGTGTTTATTATTTCAGGCTGAGAATATTTACAATGATGAAGAACTTCCACTGACCATTGAAAATGAATAGATTTATATTCAATGTCCATTTCACACTTTTTTCCCAATTTTTTTTATCTACACATCACTACTATCATACTTATTTACTAAATGAAAAATAAGAACAACTTATGTAACTAATCTGATGTTTTCTTTTGAATAAAAAAACATCGATAACTGTATCTTTGTTTAGGGGATTGTTCCCATTTCATACAGTAATATTATCAGCTATTAATCACAAAAAGTATGTTGACTAATCTACTCCGCAAACTGATTACACCATTTGATAGACGTATTCCAGGGAGTTGGATAAAACATAGTTCTTGTGATTTATTTGTGTTGGTTGCTTCAATCTTGTGTAGAGTGCCATTAAGTCATAAGCATTATAAACAGACATGGATGGTGGTTAGCAGTAGAATCTAGAATAAATCTTCCGTCCTATAGTTCTTATGACCTTATGAGTCATGTCTGTCATATTGTCAGCATGTTTTGCTTAGAACTTATTACACGGAAAGGTTTTTATTGAATATGTTCTTAGGACTGCTATATGGAATTACCACATGTCAGGTATTTAATACTAGTTTTTGATTAGTTGGCAACATCGCTCTATCATATGTGAATACTTGTCCTCTTAGGATCACCAAGTTAAATATGAGTAGAGGGGAAATGACTGGTTTGTGATACAGGCTGAACAAGTATTAGGCGGAGTTTAAGCCCGACAACTTATTGAGAAGAATATCACCTTTTTATTAATAAGTAACAGATATACAGTAAGTTTTAGGGTTGAAATCGTTGATAGAACTAGAGAAATTTACAGAGAACTGTTCGAATATAATTCTGTCCCATGTGCCGTAAAGTATTGAGGTATTCTCACGATGATAAGACATATTTTCTAAAGCTATAAACAACCCTGAGAAACCAATGATAAAACTGTAAGAATAATTTTTATTCCTCTATAATCACATAGGACTCCACAGGGATGTTCTGTTCGATATGGAATACATAGTTACGCTCATTAAAATGTCAGAATGAGCTCCTTTCTAGCGCGCAACTGCTTATGTCGAAATATGAGGCAAAAGGTTTTAGACCATTAGTCGTTGGTAGCAGATCTGGTAAGAATGTGTAGCGATACAAGTTTTCATATATTGAACTTCCGCAACTATACTCCGTAAGTCAGCTTTTTCAAATTGAGAAATCACAGTTAAAAATGGTTCACAATTCAAGTCATTGATCATTCGTAGACGGCTTTAGGTCTTATATGAACGCATGTGAAATGGTGTTTATGGAGACAAACCAATTGTTGCACCCATTTTAGTGATATCACTAGTCCTTATGTTTAAGCTGTAACTCGAGAGAACACATTTGTACTTCGTTGTTTAATGGAGCGAGTTTCCACAGCTCAAAATAGTGATGGAGGAGGTTAGTAGCATGAGAAGTCAGGGGTAAAAAATGTCATAAGTGGGAAGTCGAGAAAATAAAATGATTTATGGCTAAGAATTTAAAAGATGAAGAAAACACTGGGTTCGCAATCACTTATTGTTTTCATACATCATCTTTATACAGCTTTATTAATTGCGATCCGGTTCAAATAACGTTTTTGTCTATACATCATACATAGCTTTCCTACTGTAGGAATGTTTTTGATCAAGTTCCTAAACAATTCCACTTCCGAAGAAAAGTATACTGTAAGCATCATTTTATATTAGTCTAGATTTGTGAAGAGAAGATGAAGATGTAGAATAACTACTTCCAAGCAGTATGCTAATGATCAGAGAGTCTGACTTTCCACCACAACTATTTTGGTTTAGTTAGCTGGGTAGTACCACTAGTCCTCACTTAAAGTGTAGCTCATAGCCAAGCACCTGGTAGATGAATTAATTTAATTGAAATAATCTATTAGAATGAAATTAATGTATATTTATGAATTAATCTCACTTCTCAATTATTGAATTACAGGTATATATAAATAATTTACACTTCAAACTAAGTAGCAATACACTAATATCATGTATCTTCAGTCATAAACAGCGTAGAACCTGAGATAAAGGTGCTTCGGTTCAAGCTGTCACATAACGTCAACACAGTTAAAATGAAATTGTCAAGATAAATGCCAGAGTACTAAATGTAGTAACAGTATTATTATTAATAAAAGAATAGAGATAGACAATGCGATTTGGAAGGAGGAAAAGTATCAGATAATTTTAAAACTAAGATAAGACAAAGCGAATACATTTAGGTCATTACTACCGATTCTCAGTTATACAACCACATAACATATACGCAAACGTTCTAGTTTAGAGACAAACAACCCGACTGTTGTTCATAGTTATATAATATACCCTTGTGGGCCAGGGCAATTTTACATTGGTTTTCAGTAGAATCAGACACCATCCAGACTTTCACGTGACAACCCAAACAGTACAGCTCAACCCCATTTAACAGGAGAGCCAGAAACCGACAGGAGAGCCAGAAACCGTATAGGCTTTAACGCTACAATCTGAATAGTACCGCTCAATCCTGTGGCACAACCATACAGGTACCAAGCACCCTGGTGGACTAACGAATGTCGTAATATGTATATAAGGTATGTTTATAAAAGAAAAATATATTTCAGGTCTCAGTAGCTGAGTGGATAACTGTTATATCTAGAAGGTTGTTCTTGATATACCGAGTATAACGTGAGTACTAGAACCCTTCCAAGTCGCAATGAGAAGACAGAAGACTAATGAAAGGAACATTATTACCAGACAGTGTCAATTATAGTACAAAATTGTCAGGTATTTATAGTTTTTAGTAAAAAATGAAGTCATCATTACAGTCCTCCAATCTCCATACAGGGGGTTATTAGCATTGTCCAATCGGGAAGGTATATGTAGGATTTCTAGAATATTCTTCCAAAAGGTGATTGGATGGAATATCTTCAGTCCCTTCTGAGCTTCCTCGAATTCACCCGTGGTCCGTCGTCACAATAACGTGATGACGTTTGAAGTGAATGGTACTGGGTTCGAATGTCTGAGTAAACATCAACTTTGAGATGCAGGTACATTGAACTGACGAGTCCCAAATAGGACGAGGCACGCATTCTAGATTCCACTTTTTTAAATATTATTTGAACACATAAATATTGATACAAGAGGGCACCAAATATATATGCGCCACACTTTGTGTGAGGGCTGTGATACTGCTCGGGTGCCCAGGTCGAAACAGGTGGTTTTCTTAGGGGGCCACATCCGGAGCCTTTGACCTGAAGGTCTGATCCACAAAGCAGTGGAGCATCGTAAGAAGATGTAGTCCCATGGAAGTCGGTGACCAACAATTGGTTCATATGCCATTTGTTCCTTCAGGATCTTGTAGCCCATGTGCACCATTGGTTTGGAATCCGGTTAAATCGTCGGGCATTCACCTTTCGTCCTTTCAATTTCGTAAACAACATCCCCACCACGAGAAGGCAGTGAGTAGGACTTCCCTGGCAGAGGCTGTGTACGCCTGACCGTGTGAGAGCATTTCAAGAGGGTGGGTGGGCCCACTCCACTCTCGGCCATGCCAGGGCATTTAGAGGCCTAGATTCCACTACTAGTCCCTATCCACCTTTGTTAGTGGGACATAGACTAGATTAAAGCATGCTCAATGCATGATTGTTTTGGTGCACGCTGATTGGCTGATTCTTATCCAATCAGCACTAGTCGATGGTTGGAGAATACTCTGGAATCTTCTTATGTAAAAACTATAAATATACCGACGTTTTCCCCTATTGTGCTTCCTACTGGCTTCTGACTTGCTATTTGGACCTTTGTTTATAAAACTTGTGGATGAAAACAATACGCCAATACCAAACTGATCTATTTGCAATGTTAAACATCAATGGGAAGATTCAAGCAACAAGAATAACAACAATAATATCAAATGAATTTATTTCTATACAAAACATACACACTCACATCTATTTATTTCTTTTTCTGTTTACGTTCTAATTTATTTTGTTCATCAGATTCATGAATTAATTTAATAAATTTTGGATCTTTTTTACTTGGATAAAAACCAAAACGATCTCTTGCCTAAAACAAAAACAAAAATGATCCATATAATAACACTTACCTCTTCCATAAACATTTTCATTTTATCCTTCTTCATATTATTCATAGATAATTGTTTCTCTTCTTGATTATGAAATTTTTTTAATAATTCAGGCATTTTATTTAAATTTTTCTTAATTTTTAACATTCTAAAAAAAAATTGAAAATTAAAACAAATTCAAGATTCAATTTACAATGTTTCATTATTCAATCTTGTTTTATTCTCTTGTTCTTTATTCCTATGGACAATTTCTAAAATGGAATTTTCTAATAGATTTTCTTTAGTTTTTTCATAGATTATTTCATGTTCATTCATAAATAATAAAGATGGATTAATACCACATTGTAATCCATATTGACCAAATAAACATCTTTGATAATCTTCTGTTTTTTCTTTAGAATGAATTAATTGAAAAAATTCTTTTGTTGGTTTTATTCTTTTATTTAAATGAGATGGTAAATGTGATATATCGAAATATTTTAATTCTATAGGAAGATTTGAATGATACCATTCTTGATTCCATTGATCATAAGAATTTAATTTAGATTGTGTGATTGTTTGATAATCATTCAAATGATATGGAATCCACCAATGACGATAATATTTTTTATTTCTAATTTGATGAATTACTATAGATTGTTGATGATGAATTAATTGTTTATTTACATGAGTAAATAAATGAATCATTTAAAATCTATAAAATCAAAGAGAACAAAAAACACAATGATGAAATTACCATACGTTTAGAGTTAAATGACTTAACTGGAAAGATATAAGCAGCAGAGTTTCTAGGGATACTAACTTTACTTGCCTCTCCCCCACCAAATGACTTTGTACAGCTCAGAGTGATGAGAGTCAACTCTACCTCTCGTAATGCTCTGACATAGCCACATGTATACAACTACCATCAGGGAAGTTTTACTCATTGCTTTCTCACATCATGGGTGTTCTTTACGAAATTGAGAGGATGAAAAAGTGAATGTCCGGCACTTTAAACACGTTGGTGGACACGAAGAGTTTAACTAGGGGAGTTGGAAAACTCTCATCTCAAACCAATGATATACATGGGATCCAGCATCTTGAAGAAACAAATGGCGTATGAACCAACTGTTAGTCGTGGAACTGCATGTCCTGACGTTGGTTCATTGTCTTGTGGATCAAACCTTTAGTTGAAAGGCTTCGAGTGTGGCCCCCTAAGAAAATCACCTGCTTTATTTTGAGCACCCGGGTCCTCATAAAAATCGAATGGCTTATGTGGTGCATATCTATTCGGTGCCCTTTTGTGCCAATGTTTATGTGTTTAAATAAATGAATAAACTTTACTTAAGTCGGTCAGAATAAAATGTTTACATTGGTAAACACTTATATTCGGTAAATAACTCATAAATAGTAGGAAGCTCATTCTCAAAGCTTTACACTTAACTTTCTATAACGATGATTTCTTTGTGAGTTATCCACGCTGTCAAGACGTTTAAATACAAGACCATGTAGAGCTGAATTGATTTTAAAAATAGTTACTACTATAAGGGTATCAAATTATGCCGTACGTTAAGATTTCGACAGAAAATATAGTACCCAATCCCATTATTAATTGAATACTATAAGAAGTGTGTGTTAAATTTCTCGATTTCCCTCATTGAAAATGTACATTTCCTAAATAATGATCCTGAAAACGAAATCAGACCAGTAACGAAGATCTTGCAAGCCTATTGAGATGACCGCATAAACTCAATGGATAACTTCTTGAGGTTGGTATTCTACGATTTTCTTATGAGTAGCTTGTTTTGGACTTGTTCAACCTTAACGCTGGCACCAACAATACTCTGTTCTACTCCTATAAAAAGGCCGTATTACTGGAATAAGTTTTACAGCCAATATATTCCTATTGAATTATTACCATAAGTAAGCCCACCCACAATACCAAAATCAAAGGTGGGATCTAACGTGGAATTTTGCAAAAAGATCTTGTCGACAATTAACTAAATACAGTTTTCCGCTTAACTTTTCACTGTCCATTATTTTAAGCAATATATGTCATACCTGATATTACCATTTACTGAGTTATCACTACAGCACGGTATCCAGACAATGAAACTAATTTATAGGTACTAGATAAGCTCTGTAATTTGAAAGACTTCTGGGAAAACAGAACAACAGATCATATTTGATCAACATATGCTACATTAAATGACATATAATATGTAATATCTTCAAAAATAGTAGTTAGTTGACAATAAAGACGGATAAAAAGTCCAGTAAATTAGATAAATCTGTTATGTAAGAGCAAGAGGTGGAAATTTAAGCGCGTTTCAAGATACTCAACTGGAAATTAATGCAAAATGTAGTTTCTTTATCAATTTAGGAACAAGTGTATTCCCTAATTTCTTGACTTCGGGGATAATTTCGTTAATTGTGGGAATAATGAGACTAAATACAACAGAATTTCCCTTGACCTGGGTTTTTTAACTTATTTTTGTGGTTTCTCCTAATATTTTATGTAGAGAAAACTTACCATAATAACTCAGTACAGTGCATTTTCTTAATGGGCACTCATCATCCACATCGATATGATCGGCGATTTCTTTAAACGTTATATTCTCCCTGTGGACAAACAGTTGGTTGTTCAAAAGTCAACTGCTAAGTATAAATATCTGCATTTCCTCCTTATCGTTATGACGTAAGCTTTTGATTGATGCCATGAGTTAATTTTATGGCACTATAAAATTTAGAAGTGTTGCATAAGGTGGGGATAATAACCCCATATTATTGCATAGGGATTGAGATATACTTACGACGTATATCTGTCATCGTAATGCGATAGCGCGTGGAATGATGGGACTTAACTGCGAACAGAGACAAATAACGTTCGTGTACAGTGAACAATCCGGAGATTTCTCAACGAAGCATGTATCATATGATTCCCTAAAACATTGAAATTTGGGGAGTTTTCTAAAATATTTATATATACAGCAGTTCTACGGCGAAAATCCAGAACAAAGAGAAATTTCTGGTTTTATTTGCTTTATCGTCAGAATTACTAATGGGGCTTATCTGAAGTTCCCCGAAAACTATCGACATTTGCCCCAAACCACTAAGATTGTGGGATGTTTATGGAGTATATTAAAGTCAGAAAGAGGTTGACTTGTAATTGAATGCTGCGTTGAGCAAACTCATCAACAGATTATTAACAATGTGATTAGGAATTTACCCGAATTTAAGGGATATTTAAAAGAAGTTGCGGTGACGCATAACACTGAATTAGGCGCAAATATAAGAAGTGTCTACAAACCCCATTCTTTTCTGAAGAGAAATATTATCAGCCTCTTAACCTTTCAGCTTTATATATAAGAAATAAGGAATTATTTTCAATCACGAAGAGCTATAATTATTGTTCTACATCCTTGTGAGCTTGGCAGTGAAAATATACGTTAATAAATGTCGTAGAGGTTGAGGAGTACGGAAATCGAACTAACTACGTGAGTAACTTGGGTAAATATTCACAATACATTCAACCACTTCAGTAGAACGTGTTGTTATGGTTTTCACTGTGGAATTTTATAATCTCTGGATTCTAAGCACAAAAAGGTTTACATGAACCTTTTGTACCGGCTCTTCCGTGTTCTATCCTGATGGGGTGTAGTTTTAGTTGAAGTGTATTGGCGCATCACACAAGTTGTCCATATGATTTGTGAGGATTGTTTCATGATAGGTCATGATCTTGTTGTCACTAATCCATCTGTGTCTTAAAGATTGTAAGGTCAGTATTGTCAGATGAGCTGAGTAGAGCCAAAGTAAACTTTAGGCTTCTCGTCTTTGAATCACTCGAAGAAAAATGTTCTTAAAGTAGCAGTAGAACAAAGTATAAGGTATTTCTAGCTAAGGGCTTAAATAAATACTAATATATATTTTGAATAGTTTTTCAGTCAGCGAACCTAAAGTTCTAGCGAAAAGCACGCAAAATCTCTGTATATAAGCACATATATAACATGCAAAGGTATGTAAATTTAGAAAAATTTCTTTCGGATGCATTTAGCAAGAACATGCACGATGTCCTACATGTAGTGACTCCATCACTTTTTCGAAAACCTTGCTGTTCTTCTAAACGCCTCGTTTAATACTGGGTTTCAGATTCTAGCAAAGTTTCGTCAAGATCGTTGATTACTGAAGATTGGATTGTAGTCTTGAGGCTTTAATTGTTCGATTATTCAGAGGAAAAACGACATAGTAAGCGTTCCCTTCTCGGTAAGCGGCTTTAAGACGGTCAGCAGTGATGCCATATTTATTTCCATTCATATTGTATAGTACTTAAGCACATGATTAAGAACCTTGGAGTGTCCTTCTTATGTAGTCTTGATAGGGTAGGCGTATTGTGTCACGACGTAGGGAGATGCTCATACTTGATCATAAGATAGGTCAGCCAAAAACGCCAGTTGATTGCGGTCAAGTAGAAATAGGTTTAATTGAACGCATGGTGTTTGTAAACATGTTTGTATAGAAGTTCAGATATACTGAATCACTGAAGAAGATGAAGGATCCGCAAATCCTCCTGGGAGTCGGAGTGTGTCTAATGTCAGTTCTCACTGCATTGCGAATATCGAGAAACATAAATGGAAGGGCGTCAGTCCAATGTCATACGTTAGCAACCGAGTGTGAAGTCTTCAACTGTCAGTGATGTCGTTCTATCAAACCACTAGCTTGTGGATGATGGGTGATCGTCCGGAATCATGCGATTTCTAGTAGTGCAGCAAGACAACGGAAAAGCTTAGATTCGGACTGGAGTCGACGATCTGTAATAACAGCTGAGACGTTTTGCCCATCGTTCGACAAAGACGCAGATCGCTGTTTCAGCATTAATGTCCTTGATGAGTACTGCTTCTGAAGGGGGTGATGATAGAGGTTTATTGAATTTTGTCAGCGGACAAAGGAATTTGGTCATGAGCCTTAACCAAATGGATTTGCGAGAAAACAGCTGTACATTTTAAGGTAGCTGTCAAGTCGTGAATGCGTGGCAACGGGTAACGATCAGGAATGATAGTCATTACAATACTCCCCTCCGTTGAATAGAAACCGGAAATCACTCTGCGAATTCCTAGTTGTCTCGTCGCATTTTCATCCTGTGACTAACAGTGTATACGGTATCATGGGTGTTTCGCTAGAACTTTAGGTTCGCTGACTGAAAAACTATTCAAAATATATATTAGTATTTATTTAAGCCCTTAGCTAGAAATACCTTATACTTTGTTCTACTGCTACTTTAAGAACATTTTTCTTCGAGTGATTCAAAGACGAGAAGCCTAAAGTTTACTTTGGCTCTACTCAGCTCATCTGACAATACTGACCTTACAATCTTTAAGACACAGATGGATTAGTGACAACAAGATCATGACCTATCATGAAACAATCCTCACAAATCATATGGACAACTTGTGTGATGCGCCAATACACTTCAACTAAAACTACACCCCATCAGGATAGAACACGGAAGAGCCGGTACAAAAGGTTCATGTAAACCTTTTTGTGCTTAGAATCCAGAGATTATAAAATTCCACAGTGAAAACCATAACAACACGTTCTACTGAAGTGGTTGAATTTATTATGGATGTTTATTATTTGCATCTGATTACGTTATGGACAAACGAATATGAATATTTTGGAATGTAGAACTGAGAGTAGCGAAGGTGCCTTAGGGACATTTGTTGTCCAATTACTTCAGAGTTTTAACAGCCTTTACTGAAGCGCGCCCGCTGCTTCTCCTCTGTATTCATAGCATACCAACGATATCGTTCTATTATTACTTAATGGTCGCTCCAACACTTTGACGATAAAGCGTATTCCACTTTTCAAAGATGTTGTGTCGATAATGTCTCAACACCTTTACGCGATCTCTTCCCTTAACTTTGCTACATACTAGTGTTTACTTACGTGTTACCATCTGTTTTATCCGTGGCTTCATGGTTGTTCAGAATAATTCGTGCCGAAGATCAGTGTCTTCTCGTTGAATTTGAGTGAGTCTAAGTAGGTTGAAACCTTGGAAATTGTTTGAAGACGTTATGTGAGATAATGCTTCTGTGGCTACATTTTTTGCCTCATATGTCTTGTATATGAGAGGTAAACTGTGAGACGTAATCTGGTTGTCGAGACTCTCAAGAGGAGAGTTCGTCTGAAGACGAGTTAAGAGAGAAGTTGAGAGGTTTATCGTCGGTGAACAGAGTGAAGTCCCGGTCTTCAACAGCGTGTTGAAAGTGCTGTATAGCATGTAACGTGGGTGAGAATCCTTCACTATAATTGCCATACCTCGGTCCAATGTCTTGCAATAGTCTCAAGAAGGATGCAAACGGTTGTCAGGAGTTGTTTGCCGACTAATGTTAGACTCCTTCGATTGTCTAACTGGATAGGTATACGGAAATACTAATGTGTTATTCAATGTCCTAGTGTGCAAGAATGGTTCGTTTCGCGAAACTTTCCTTAACCTTGGAGAATGCTTTATTCACGTTCTTTTTCAGACTGTTGAGTTTCGCACTTCTACGATGTTGGCCTGTTAACTGTCTCATGAGAGACGCTCAATTCGCAATGATCCGTTGACAGAAATTTACGAGACCGTTGAACATACGTACTTGCTTGTCTGTGGACGGTTCACAGTAATTCACTTTGATTTCCAGAGGGAGTATTCCTTTAACACCAATGGTGTGTCCAAGAAAATCTAATGGATCGGTGCCGGCTTGACATTTCTGAATGCCTACAGTAGTGCCGTGTCTTTGGAGAGATCCGAAAACAACGTCCGGATTCTGGAGATGAGATTCTCCACCCGGACTTGCGATCAAGCATTCGTCTGCACATCCTTGTACGAAGTCGAGACCTCCAAAGAGGTCGTCGATAAATCTCTGGAACGTTAATGCAACATTTCTTACGTCCAAATGCGTGCGCGTAATTTCGTAGAGGCCGAAGAAGGTGATGTTAGCGGTTTTGTGAATGTTGTCAGTAGCCATGGAAATTCGCTCATACCTTTTGAGGTTTCTGTCAAGTCCCGAATATGTGGCAACGGGTAACGATCAGGAATGGCCTCCGCATTCAGTCGACGATAGTCACTACGATACTCTCCTTCGCTGAACAGAACTCCGAAACTACTCCTACAATCACTGTACCTCTACCCATTAGAGTACAACCGTCCAATAGGTGACTTCCTAGTGACTTGAGGACCACGGTGGATCTGATGCACATTTGAGGGCGCGGATCAGCATTCCTACAGTTGAACAACATGTGGAACTCAAAACAACCGTCAACTAACACCAAGGTCAGGATTTTCAATGCAAATGTCAAAACAGTTCTACTAAGTGGGGAGAAAACCGGGATAACTACGAAAGCCATCATTCAGATGATACAAGCATTTATTAGTAATTGCCTACGTAAAATACTTCGGATTCGATGGCCAGACACTATTAGAAACAACCTACTGTGGGAGAGAACAAACGAGATCCCAGCGAAGGAAGAAATCAGGAAGAAGCGCTGGAAGTGGATAGAACACACATTGAGGAAAACATGCAACTGCGTCAAAAGGCAAACCCTCACATGGTGTCCTCATGGTCAAAGGAGAAAAGGAATAAGAAACACATTACTTTGGGGAATGGAGATAGACATGAGAAAAATGAACAAGAATTGGATAGAACTAGAAAGGAAGGCCCATGATAGAGTGGGTTGTAGAATACTTGCCGGCGGCCTAAGCTCCATCGGGAGTAAAAGGCGTAATTAAGTAAGTAATTAATTACTTGTAGCATCCTGAACACTTCCGGGCATTCTCTTATCCACTCACTTAGGCTCAGTCGCAACAAAAACCTTAGAGGTAACACCCAGAGGCCGGTGATTCAGTACACCCGAACGGACTGTAGATCAACATTCCACGCCTCCGGATAGGCCAATCCAAGCAAAATTTCAGGAATTCTTTAAAAAGGAAGTTTGATATAATCTTAAGAACTAAGGGCAGTGTCTCGCCATGATTTTCAGAATTTTCCCTCTTTTGTCGTTAATTATACCCAAGTTATTACCTGGAGGGACAGGTGATCCACTGCTACTAGGTATGGAAGCCCGTTAAGCGAAAGCTTCTTCTATTCCATCCAGGACCATTTGAACTTCCTGATGATAGTCCCATAACTCGATTCAATGTCTCGCAACCATCTCAGTCAAAATGCCAAGTGTCCTAAGTGTTGTATTTGGTCATTGCTTTAAGATCTCTCCATCTGCCGTGTCGAATCCATTTGCGGTGATTCAGACTGGTGCTTCAATTTCCTGATGTGTGAGCTTGGTTGATTTCGCGTTGGAGTCTTCAGTTAAGGAAGTGATTATTTCGCGCCATCGTACAAATTCATGATTCCCGCATTTTCACAACTTTTGTCTGTTAAGAGTCCCTGTAAACATGCACAATTCGCTGT